GAAGTGTTAAAAGGTTTTTAATAAGAAATTGAAAATGATTATCCTGTCCGATAACGTTGAGAAAGAAAGTTCGTTGTAAAGAAGAAAGCAAGCATTATCGTCGAGTCAATTATCTTGGAACAAGCGAGACGCAATTATGAAATATAACGAAGACGACAAGATTGTTAATGAAAAAAGTTCCATATTGATCAGATAAAACACTTTGTCAGTCTTGTTAATGAAAAACTTCGCCCGGAACTTTTTCCCAACAGTAATTGCACTTCTTTACAATTTACATCCTAGCATAAAGAGCCCCTTTGTCACTTATAATCGACTTCAGTCTGCAAGTTTTAGCTAAACGACATGCAGTACATTTAATGTGGATTCATAATAGGAAATCATGATATAATTGTTTAGAAACAATTGGCGTAGAGATGATTGATAGGCTTAAACGATCGTAACGAGCGGTAATCCTGTTGTGATTTGTATCTGCGGTGGTAAAACGATGTGTGCCAGTCTTGATGATAAACTAACTGGGAAGACGCGTAGGAGGAAAAATCGATGCTGCGTTCCAGGTCGTCCGGGCTAACGAGGCAGGATTTACCGGGACTTGGGTGTTAGATTTACTCGCTTCCTGCATTTCAATTCAGATCGCCGTGATACCGGCGGTCGGATACCACCGGAAATCGTGGATCGTTCGTGTCAGCTCGCGTCACGAAACTCTCGCGGAAACCTCTCGGATCTCGTTTATTATGCTACGCTACTAGTATTCGGCCCGAAACACGTTTTCGCAATTAAGTAATCGAACGTCAAGAATCGTCGAGCGAAATTGCCGCGCCGGTCGCCAAGAATCGGAAGAGCCACGGGATATGACAATCGGAAGATCCGGTTACAATGCCTCTTAATCGGATCGGTATCAACCGAGCGAACTCTAGCCGCTACGAAATTGAATCGGGAGATCTGTTTGAGTTAATAACTGATAAAGGCCGAACCTCTGATAGCCGGCTCTTTGTGAGGGGACTATGCGAGATCAAAGTTAACTGACGTCTAAATAGATCCGAGTCAACCCCCGGTTTTAGCCGACGTATATACATATAGGTGAACGGGGTGCTAAAGGATTCAGGACAGTTTGCACAGCCAAATCATGCAGTATGGTCGCGACGATAGAGATAATATTGTAACAACGATGGGACAGGTTACAGCCGATAGATAGGGGAATCATGCGATAACGCTACTAGCCAGGAGTCGAATGCTCGTGATGATGTAATTTTGCTGGGCTTAGGGTGGCTGATAGCTCGTTAGTGGAATTGGTATCTCAAAACTGCTAAATGCTACGGTAGTACGGTTACAATTAATGAGGTAGAATCGTGAATTTTTATGAACAGTTTCAATAAGAGATATTTAAATATAATAATCGAACAATTCCTTAATTTCAATAGACGTACTAGATTTTAATTTCAGAATAACTATTTATTACATGATACTCTCATGCAAAATGTAAAATACTAGAATTTATTACCTCTTAAAAGTAAAATTTAAACTTTGCGATGTTCTAATAAACCGTGGACACGGCATATTCTATGTTAAATCTGGGCCTCGATAAATCACGTTAGATTAAGTCACAAGAGATGGAAAAGTAGAGGTATACCAGGCTAAGTTATGGCAACTTGGCCTCGCCGTAGCGGGGAATTCGATTTCCGGTAAATCGAATTAAACTGTCGATGTCGGGGAAAACTCGACCGTGAAAAATGCTCCGCTGCCATGGTCAGATTTCCGCTTGCAAATATTTAAGATAACCGGCGACGTTACGTTATTCCGATGTATATAAGTCGAGTTGAATTTATTATAGTACAACGAGGTTCGATCCGAGAATACGTAATACGGTTTCGTCCCAATTTGCAAAACAGCCGTTGACGTATGCGCTTCGCTTGCTGTTAGAAAATCGCGAAAATTCAAATGAAATTAGACTTTGTAAACTCGCTCGAACGTTTTGACCCGCCATTTGAATAGAAATCCCGGTGCATTTGCAATCTCGCGATTCTTTCTTTAGAAGTATTTCGCTCGGTTGAAGAAAGGTAATGTTTTCTCATTATCTATAATACATACAATTTACAATGCTAAATGATAAAAACTAGTCAGATTAATTACACATATGAAAAAAGTGTCTAAATAAACTGATGTACATATAACTATTTCTTGTAAAAAAAAAAGAAACCTACATTCCCTTTTATGTTGGAATAATTGTCGAGCGAGGGAGTCGATTGGAATTCGGGTATAGTCACGATTGAACGCTGCGTGCGCGATTCGACAGTCCAATTTGCAAAACAATCGCGGATGCGATTGCACAGTGTGCATACGTGCGCCTGTATGTTCAACAACGATGGGCGGATAGTAAACAAAGATTTCGAGATTCGTCCCTACTTGCATTATTTGCCATTCGAACGAGCTACGAATCGATTCTAACGATGCGACGCATATTTCGTTTTACCACCCTGAATTTATACTATTCTATCGAAGATGTTTATCATAGATTTTAATGTCTTTTACACATTGGGAGTTTATCAACAAACATTTGATTTGTGGTTCAAAATCATCGGCTCATTCACAGAATGATTGCAAATGATCACTTAAAAAGAACAAATAGGAAAGCATAGGTGGCAGAGATAAATACAAAAGTGTAACAAGGTATCATTTTCCCTGACAAGTGGAAAATATGGAATAATGAAAAAAGCCAAACGGCGAGATGGAAAAGCTGGAGGAGACAGCGTACGGTAAGAGGAAACTCGACTGATGAAGTGCAGCGTCGAACCATCGAAATTTTTGCTTCTTCGTTTCACTCTTAGTTTTTTGTGTATTCTTTTCAATTTATCCACCAGCGACGAAGGGTACTTGTGCGAGATTGCGCTAATTGAAAAATTCGACATCAGAACTGTCTCTCTTGATTTCTGTTTCCGCGCTTCCTTTGTCTTGATCATCTGGAAAAGTGGAACGTTTATCGATCAAAAGGAACGGCTTCTTTTTCACCACCTCTCTGTACGATGTGCATACGTGCGCCTGTATGTTCAACAACGATGGGCGGATAGTAAACAAAGATTTCGAGATTCGTCCCTACTTGCATTATTTGCCATTCGAACGAGCTACGAATCGATTCTAACGATGCGACGCATATTTCGTTTTACCACCCTGAATTTATACTATTCTATCGAAGATGTTTATCATAGATTTTAATGTCTTTTACACATTGGGAGTTTATCAACAAACATTTGATTTGTGGTTCAAAATCATCGGCTCATTCACAGAATGATTGCAAATGATCACTTAAAAAGAACAAATAGGAAAGCATAGGTGGCAGAGATAAATACAAAAGTGTAACAAGGTATCATTTTCCCTGACAAGTGGAAAATATGGAATAATGAAAAAAGCCAAACGGCGAGATGGAAAAGCTGGAGGAGACAGCGTACGGTAAGAGGAAACTCGACTGATGAAGTGCAGCGTCGAACCATCGAAATTTTTGCTTCTTCGTTTCACTCTTAGTTTTTTGTGTATTCTTTTCAATTTATCCACCAGCGACGAAGGGTACTTGTGCGAGATTGCGCTAATTGAAAAATTCGACATCAGAACTGTCTCTCTTGATTTCTGTTTCCGCGCTTCCTTTGTCTTGATCATCTGGAAAAGTGGAACGTTTATCGATCAAAAGGAACGGCTTCTTTTTCACCACCTCTCTGTACGATTACCCGCGTGTTTTGATTCGTCACGAGGAGAGATTATTTTCATTTTCTTTTTTTAGAGGAGATTGCTTCTCGTTTGCTTATTCGTCTCCACTTTACCAGATTTTCAACCAGATCGATCGCCCACGATGTTCAGATTCAAATCTCAGTTTTATTCTATGAAACTCATTTTACCTTGGAAACATATTTCCTTTAATTAATGTTGAAGTTATTAAAATATTGAATCAAAAATTGTGAACGTTCGGACGATCGATTACATAGCTTTATTCTTGGCTATGAAAATAAAATACGTCCAAGGAAACAATCTTCAATTTCTTTTTGTATATTCTTAAAATTACTAGAATATTTATTGTATTTTTTACTCAATTATTTGGTTGGATATTTTCGAAGCCAAGAATTTGATTCGGTAGATTTTCCAAGAAATATTCTGGGAGAATCCACCTGCTCATGAAATATGCAACAAATTTCTTGAATGTAGATAAGATACGACAACAGGTAGAGAAAGGATCCATACAACTCTGAGTTTGGCAAACTGGAAAAGATGCCTGATACCATTTTGAAATTTTCTTAATATAAAATATCTGTTTGCCAATATCACGAGTTGGGGATCGCTTGGAACAAAGTATAGTAATGAAATTACACGCAACTGCGCGTAGCTATCTTCGCGTTTATGAGATAGAAAAAATCGTCCATTCTCCGGGAAACACGCCCGATGAAAATTTCGAGACGGATATTAAAAAACGAATAAAGGCGAAGCTAGCGTCGCGCAGCTGTAGTCATTTTCACGTATTCGGCCGTTGATGGATACGCGGCGGCGGTCCCGGTTTTATCCGTTGCTCCGCTTTTCCGCGGCGAATTTCAACGAAATGAAAATTGAGAGGAGAAATTGCGTTCCCGCCGCATCAGTCGCCGTGCATCTATCAACGCTTACGATCAATTGCTCTGTCTACAGATTCATGCGCGGCCCGTGAAATTATTGTTCAATTATTATTCAACAGTTTATTTTATTTTATTATCAAGTGCAGACAAATTCTCGTCGAAAGTATTTTCGTAATAAAGATACTTTCTTCGCAGAATCATTTTTCTATTTTTATCAAAATGAATTAAAAAACATATTAATGAAAATCGTTTTGTAATTAATGAAAACTATCAGAAAAATCGTTATTCGTTTGATGCTATATTTTTAAATAAACAAAAAGGCTCGCACGAATCTTGAGATTGATTGACAGTTAATAATTGACATAGTTAAGCGCAATGGAAAATTTTATTGATATGGAATTGTTAATTTAATAGGTGAACAACGCGACAGCGAGGGTGCAGACGAAAAAACCACCGACGGTACCCAACGGTAAGTTCCATCATAAATTTTCAATACGAAACCAACGAAACTCGTCGTCATAAATTAAACTTAATGTCAATAATGTTATTACGGTATATTCGTTGCTCGGACAATTCATTATTCTACCTTATAAAGTAAACAGAGTACCACGAGTGTTTCGTTTAATTCAACGCGTATTCTAACTAAGTTAAATCAGAAATTCAACTCTCTTTGGACGCGTGAAATTTTAATGTTAAACTACATGTCGAGAGATATTCAACTACTCTTGCCGGGACTATGAAAATGTGTCTCACAGTTTGACGAAATGATTGTCGCGATTTCAAAAAAATGTTTTCTTCTAAAAGATATTTTATCACTTTTTTATTTGCTAATTTGAGTCAATTATTTTTGAAAGCTTTAGGTGACAAAAAGGAGACACGTTACAATAGTTAAGTCATGATGCTGTTATAAATAATCGAACAACAATAACTATCATCGGTTGCCAACTATTTCCTAACATAACCCGGACTAATTGCGTCTCTAATTATATAAACTCGGTAATCAACTATAAGAAATGGGGTTCCCTTATAAATCAGGTTCAATTAAATTTATTCGAAGAAGAATAAGAGTTGACATACAACTAACAGCTTTTCGACCACAATTAATCGAATATTGCCCATTACCTCCAACAAATGGTTAACCGTAACCCCGACCGCGTTACTTCGCTCTACCTAATCGAACCAATTCCTTGCCGGACCGCATCCCGCAGAGAAATTTACTCGAGTATCGAGAATGGTGCGATTAGCCGCGAAGCAAAGCCGCACGCGGGGAGATTAGGATCGACACGGGTCGGTTCACGCGTGCACTAAATGTGCGCGAAAACATCTCTCTTAATAGCCACAGGTATTCACAACAGATTCACTTTCGAATCGTCTCATTTAACCGTTCCCGAAGGAATGTCATTAAAATTATCGTATCTACAATTAATAATCCGTTTGTCACTGACAGGACGAAGCAGGAATTCAAGTGAAGTTTTATATTTGCCTTTGATAGTATTAAATCTCTTTAGCTCTTGTCAATTGTTTATTTAGTACAGTTCAATAATTTCTTTAATAAAAAGTACAGAACGCAACTATTGTAAAAATTTACTTATCTTCATTTCTATTTATTATAATGTTATAATATAAATTTTGTGAATGAAGTATTTGTATTTCTAAAGTATACAGATATCAAAGAAGGTCTCATTAGTATGAAAAAGGGATTTGACATTTTAGCTCGACAAGGAATAAATCTCTCAACAGTCTCAGCTTGCGAGTTTCGCGCGCGATTTTTAATGCTGAATTGAGTGAAAGCAACGAATGCAAGTCGGTCGACGACTAATCCTTGTTGAAACGGTAGATCGTGACGCTGCTGACCCGTCAGTTTTCCTCTGTTCGTAGCGGAAAAACGCGTACAAAGAGCAAATGTTCGAGCGTATCGTCCAGCGAAAAAGCTTTCCCGTCGTCGGTGGTCTTGTAAATTTCATCTAGTCGCATTTTTTCTCGTCTCGCACGCGGAAATTTCGTTCCCAGGGGGGTGAAAAGCTCTCGGCTTTTCGTCAGCCGTCAGACAACGATTCCGTCGACGTTACGCGTATTATACAAAGTGGCACCGAAGGCGCGCGACGTTTAGAGATTCGCTGATGGATCTCCGCTCTTCTCGCTAGAGTGAATTTTCGCGAGGCCTTTCACCCTCCTGCGCGAGTGTAAAACGTATAATCCTTCGGCATGGAAATTGCCGTCGACGGGTAACGGCCGATGAGATTGCGCCCCGGTATCAAGCGTTATCTATTATTGCGGGGAAATTAGATGATGGTCGAATTAATTAAATTCGCCACCCCTCTGTCGCTGGGAGATTTACGTCTCTGTGCGCGTCACATGACTCGGTTTAATATCGCTTTTGTAATATGATACGGTGACACCTCGTTGTAACAGTAATTATTCCTGAACGTTTTACTATTTTTTATCTTTT